AGCTAATTTCTGATTGGTTGTTGCAAACAACTGGTCTGCATTGCCACTTTTAAAATTAATTTTTAATGTTACAAAAAGTCAATTTTTACTTATCACAGCGAATGAGGTGAAACAAGGTGAAAGTTACAGTGTAAAGAATACCCAATCACGTTCAAGGAAATAATAAAAACAGGATTTTTGCTTGCACATAATTATATGACTGAAGTCCGTACAATTTCACCTCATTCACTAAGGCAAGTGAAAATTTACTTCACAAAGAAAAACCTAATTTAGCTTGTGAATGAGGTGAAGTTGCTGACTTTGATCATCCAATTAATTTTTAGTTTTTCTCTAGGTAGTAGCGCTCTCTCCTTTGTTTTTTTCTGTTTATATGTTGAATTTGCAGGGTCCTGCAATTAAATGTAAGCAAAGATCCAATATTTCTAATTTTCCTTTCACACGATTGAGTATTCTTTTTTTTTACCTCTTTCACTAAGGTAAGAGAAAATGCACTTTGAAAGTAAACATGCTCTATTCCTAAGTCAAAAAATTCCCAGTGCCACCACTTCTACTACCACTTTAGGGGGGGGCGGCGTTGCTGTCTTGCCTAGGGCAGCAGCATTTCTTAATACACCACTGCTTACAATTAATACATTTACTTTCGTTAGGGCCGTTCCCACAAGCGGACATGCGTTATGGAGAATTTTTTTCTAACTTTATTTAAATCCCACTTTGTTGAACGCTATGTGTGCAGCACACTGTGACACTATGCAAAGCAAAGCTTTATGCCCTGTCTTGGTACTGCACTGGGCAACACTGCCTAATGCAGCACAACAATGATGGTGTGAATGAGCTCTAAACATGAAGACAAAATAAAGTAGTTTGGCCTTTATACTAGCTAACAAAGGATACACCATGGTCTTGTTTACAAGATACAAATTCATCCCAATTAGTAACATAGTTTATATACAGTATAGGCACACATCATCACATAATGCAATAACTGACCTACAATCTAAATACCATAAAAACATCACTTCAAGAATACAAAGTACAAAATTATATGAGTTCACTCTTTGAACTGGTGACATTTTTTTTAAAGATCTCTCTGATATTTGAACAGAAAAAAACATATAATTCAAATCCACTCAGCAATACTTCTTCAAAATGATGTTGAAACATTTGCAATACATTTAGCTCAGTCATCGTTTCTCAGTGTCAGCTCATTAATAGGCAGATCTGACTACACAGTTCTGTGATAAAACACAAGATGGCACAAAAGAGCACATTAACCTGTGCTAGCATTACAATGTACATTTCCATGGCTCATAAGTGGAAGGCAAACATATGAATGTGCACAGCTCTGTGATATTGTTGGTTGCAACGCTGGCATTTTTCCAACATATTTACCACTTTGGATAAAAAATGTTCATCTTCATTTCCCAATTTATTTGTATTAAATGACATTATTGGTTGCCATGATTCTAGTTAGCAAACAGTTGTGAGTACTGTAATGTTTGTTTTAAAGCAGGATGCCATTTTCTGATAAATGTTCACTTTAAAGCCCAACTCTGGGCAAACATGAACCCCTTCCCCCCTAGCTTTAAGAGGTAAGAAAGAAACATCAAGGATGGGTTGGGGGGTGGGAGGAGGTTCATATTTTGCCAAGAGTTGAAATTTAGGGCCTGTTCATACCAGGTTCATTGGATACACTGGCAACCTTGCTCAGAGCAGTTCCAATGCAAAGACAAGGCCGAAGGCAGCTGAGTGAATAACCCATCCGAAGTGAAGTGAGCCGAACTATGTTCGGCTATTCACTTCTGGCTTGTACGGCTGATTTCAGCTGTACATCGGCTGAAATCAGCCGTACATCCGCTGAAATCAGCCGTACATCGGCTGTACTTCGGTCACCCGAACATGCTCTGAATGTTCGGCAGAGCCGAAGTGCAGAAGGCCTTCGACTCAGCCGATCCGATATCTGGATCGGCTGAGCCAAAGCTCTGCCAGCTCACTCGCTGCTGATCGCCCCCATTCTCATAGGGGCCGAATGGTATTGAGTGCTGTTCTATATGTGTATACTTATTACTTACGGATGATGGGGGCCTAAATACTAAGATAAAAGCCCTGGTCATCTTTTGAGAAACAAACAATTACAATTTTTTTATTTATTACAAATGACCATTTAAACAGTAACATTATGCTCCAATAATTTTAGCATACAGATTAGAAATTTGTCACAAAAATCCAAAGCTAATTTCTGATTGGTTGTTGCAAACAACTGGTCTGCATTGCCACTTTTAAAATAATGTTACAAAAAGTAAATTTTTACTTATCACAACGAATGAGGTGAAACAAGGTGAAAGTTACTGTGTAAAGAATACCCAATCACGTTCAAGGAAATAGGGGCAGCCGAACATGCTCTGAATGTTCGGCTGAGCCTAAGTGCAGAAGGCTTTCGACTCAGCCAAATTGACATCTGGATCGGCTGAGCCGAAGCTCCGGCAGCTCATTCGCTGCCTTTCGCCCCTATTCTCATAGGGGCTGAACGCTAGTGAGTGAAAAGCCAAATGCCGCAGAGCATTCGGCTATTCTACTCGGTAGAATAAATAAATAGTAAAAAAGAAAAAATAGAGATTAAAAAAACACACTTGGGCGGAGCTAACAGTTACAGCTGTCTCCGCCCAGTTGTTATTCATTGGCCGGCACCTGCTGGAGTCTTCTATCAGGTCCCAGCCAATGAATAACAACTTGGCGGAGTCATTTGCGGGGCGAAAATCGGGCCTTTGTCAGGTTGTTCGACCTGCTTCGGTTGACACTCAACTGAGCAGAAGCAAATTCCTTTAGCTCGGCTGAACTGCTCGACCACCTTCGGCGGCAGTACGGGTTACTGTGAATAGCCCGTAAAGCAGCCCTTCGGTTCAACTGTACCGAAGGGCTCCGGCGACCGAAGAGAGCTGAAAGATCAGCCAAAGCTATGGCTGGATCCTTCGGCTCATCTGTGAATAACCCCCTTAGAAACTATTGAAGCCAGATGATCAACATAACTGCCAGGTGAAATATATTGGGGATATTTCGATGTCTAATTTTGCCTAATTTTGTTCCCCATGGTCCCTGCGTGTGTTGTAAGGTAGCTACCAGTCTAAGCTCACTTCTGTAATAGACTACAATCTCAATACAAATTAGTAAACTAAATGTGAGATTGTAGTCCATCACAGGAGTGAGCTTGGAGTGGTGACTACTTTACAACATACACAGGGACCATGGGGAACAAAAGTAGCCACCCTCCAGAAGGAAGGGCAGTGTCAGCATGAATTCGGAGATGATTTGAGGATCTACAGCTGAGTGATACACAAATAAGATACATTTGTGTTAATGTACTTGAATACATTTTTAAGATTTAACTCCTGAGTAAAATCTTAAAAATGTGAATTAATTGCATACTTACCCATAATTTCTTGGCAAGCTGTTTACCTTAGCTATTGCAAAATAATCTAGAATCAGGCCTAGTAGGATTGGCATGTTGGATGACATGTTTTCCCTTTATTGTTTGTCTCCAGTATTTATAGAAAAAATTGAAAAAATACCACATATATATTTTTGTGTGTGATTTGCTAAACTAATCTTAAATATATTTTCTATTTCTTATAGATTATATCTATCACTTTGTAAATTATAACTTAAAACAATTAAAAGAGAAGTAAAAAAAAAAAATAGAAACACGACAAATGAATGATACTGAATTCTTTTTTTGTACAAAGTTTGTGGAAAAATAAAGAATGTGATTTGGAAGATGGATAATATCACCCCTTGCAGAATGTTTGGTATTTTACACAAAATGTAATTATTTGTGCCTTTTTTTTGTTTTAAGTGATTTCTTTCCAAAGCTTTAAAAACCCACCATGCTACTTTCGAGCTCCAAAAATTAAATTACAGTTTTGTGGAGGAGTAAACAATGCCCCAAGGTAAGCTATGAAAATTGCAATGATTTTTCAAAACTTTATACTCGACTCTCACCGTCTTCTGATTTGTAGAAATTGATGTAGGCATTTCAAGCACTTTTAAAGAGCCTTTTCACACTATAACATTGTGCTAAACTTACTGTACTGTGGGTTTAGCACATGCTTTTGCACGGCATGAATGGCACTTCAACACCCCTCCCGACAGCCGTACATTGCAGCGCAATGTGCAGGAACCACAATACCGTGCATTGACTTGAAAAAAAAAGCAAAAAAAGCAGTGCATGCACTACTAAAATGTTACTTTGGTAATATTTTGTTCGAATAAAAGATAAAATACAGTGCAAAGCTGCACTTTACTAACTGCAAAAACTGCCAAAAGTGAGACAAAGGAAGTCCTGGAAACTTCTTGGCAGCAGATAGCCAACAAAATAGGTAGAAAATTCACAATGTGTTGAAATTTCCAAGTTTTTTTTTCATATGTATTAAATGTATAAAGCTATGTCCCTTTCCTGTAATTCAAAATATAACACATTGTACTCATAATTCCTGCTTTTAAAGGAAAGCCATTGAGACAGCAAACACACCTGACAAGGCGATCCACATGCTCAAGATTATGTCCACCATTTACTGTAGCCAAACATGCATTGTTGGAATAATGTACTGCTGTACCTCCAATGTATAACAGTTTTATTTAATTTATGATAATGTAATATTCAAAATCTAAAGAAAACACAAAAAACCAGAGCCAATGCAAAAGGCAATCAAAAATAAAACCTGGGTAATAAGGCATTATGACCAAAATTCAACAAACACATTACGTTTTAAGATACTACAAAGTGTAAACATAGGACAGCAATTTGATACTATTCCCTCTTTTGATGAACACATGTAACACTGAAAGAAAATCTTATCAATATATATAAAGTGCCATCATTTTTTATTCAGCTGCATATTTATCCCTTAATATTGTACTTATAAAGTCATGTCCTTTTAACTGGTGTATAGTATAAATAGGTGAGATGAAACTCAAAACAATCCAAGTTGTAAACTGTCAGATGCAATTCAACTGTCCGTTTCTCCATGTACATTCTCCATGTGCACCTTGAGGTAGTCATTTCTTGTAAACTTCTTGTGGCAAAGCTGGCACTCTGCCATTGGACGATTAGGATTGTGAGTCAGTTTATGTCGAATTAACATTTTCTTTAGACTGAAGGACAGGTCACAAACCTAAAAAAGAAAAAGAAATCCATGAAAATATGTTTGACGTCACAAGCATTCTGTACAAAAGGGGTATTTGTATTCCTGGAGAAGTGCTCATCAACATTTTAAAACACAGCACTAACAGGGTTATTTACAAAAGGGTGAAGTGGTTGGAGAAGGCAGGAGAAGTGAACAATATAGGACAACGTAGCTGAATTGGAAGTAAGCTGAATTAGATAATTTTTCCAAATCAACTATTGGGGCCTAGATTGTTCCCTTCTCCTGCCTTCTCCAAACTCTTCACCCTTTTGTGAATAACCCTGTAAATAGTATGTTTGTGCAAATCATGCTAACTGACTATTTCTTGATTTTTAAATATGGGGAGAAAATTGGGTTTTATAATGGGGACCATATTTAAATTAGAGCTCAGGAAAATAAAAGTAAAAGTTCTGTCTAAGAACAGGCAGAAGGTGTCTGCTATTATCTTTGTTAGCCAGAAAAGCCTAATCTATGCACTCTTATGACACTGGATTCACTTTATTTCTAAGGACTCTTGCTAGATCAAATTTGTTTTCAATAGAACCATTATATCCAATATAAACATAACGCTGCACCCTCATAAATGATCAATATACAGTATGTAAAATAAATCAGAGTGGTAATATAAGCAGCAACTCTAACCTCAAAATATAACGTTCAAAAATCTAAATATTGTAAAGGGCAGTGCTAATAATAACTTATATAGAACAAGTGCTAAAAATCCTCTAAAGTTTCATGACAATAATTGATAAGGGTCCTGTGTTTATGTACAACAACAGATTGTAAAGACGATTATTACAATAATATACATGTGCAAACCAAATAAATAATCATAATAAAAAACACCACCTTTCAGAAAGCAGCTCACTGTTATAAATTGACTTCTAATATAAGAAGGTCAAGATGCTCAAGTTAATCCAGTATTTACCTTTTATTAGTTCTGCTCTTTACAATATTTTGATTTTAAATAGAACCAGCCGGTAAAGTTTAGGGTAAATACTGCCCACTCCACCAATCTTTGCTCTCTTGAAGAGATAAACTGGCTGAAAAATCTTTTGCATTGACAATTTCAGGTGAGTCAGATAGCTGGACCCCACTGCAATTTGTGGCTTGATCTACTGACTGGTAACTTACTACTGTGTTGTGTAGTGATGTAGTAGCTGGCAGAAGCAATCAAAGTACGCAGAAGGGAAATAGATATCCAACGAACCCAGAAGTGTGTTGGATGCTGAAGATTCTTCAGCAAGCTAAGCTCTGCAACAGAGCAAAGAACTGCAGAGCAGGTAGTGGGACAGTAAGTATTAACATTTTTAATTACAGGCTTTTTTAAAATAAAGTCATTTGGCGACAGAGTCGCATTAAGGCTGAGTCCCACATCTGAAGTTAAGCCTTACCCACCAGCTACTCCTTTGTACAATAATAGTGCCTTAGGCTGGGTTCACACCTAGGCATATTTTTTCTGCTTGTTTTACAGCTCGTTCTTTTCGCGGTTTTTAGCACGTTTTTCCGTTCAGTGAAACGCGCGTTTCACTGACGGTATGATTTTTTTGGGGTTTTTTTCCTTATTTTCTCTATTTAAAAAAAAATGTTTTTATCCACTTTCAAACTTCCCGCCGGCACCGCCCCCCTGCGATGCGGCCACTCGCAAGGGACGGAACCCGGAAGTCGGCAGCTGCCGGAGGACACAGCGGGGATCGCGGACAAGGTAAGTCCTACGCTGTATTCCCGAGTGTGGCTCAGGGTTACCGCTTTGTTAACCCCGAGCCACACTCGGGAATACCAATGGAAACGCGCGGAAAAACGACCCAAATAAGCTCCTGTACTTGTTTGGGCGTAGGGCATTTTTCAGCGCGTTTCCACGGGCTGAAATACGCCCAGGTGGCAACCATGCCAATAGGGAAGTATGGGATTTCACTGTTTGAGCGTTTTACAGCGCGTCGATCAGCGCTGTAAAACGCCCAGGTGTGAACCTGGCCTTAGTGAACAATAAAGCTGAAAACATTTGGCAGTAAGATACATTTGTCCATTTAGTTGCTTTTGCCAAAGGAAGCTGGTTGAAATGGGTAGAAATTGCCTGAAAATGTCTGTGTGGCCAGCATAAGTAAACTCTTACTGGACAGGGGATCAGTGGCTTGGTGGGGCCAAGCATCCAGGGTGAACCTTGGCCTGAAAGTTTACAAAGCTGAGATCTCAGTAACAAAGTGGCTTTTCTGGGTAATAAAGTAACAGCAGCCACCTGTTGCCAGCTCTTAGACAGGACTTAAATTTTAACAAAGTATGTTCATGACATAAACATGGAGCCTGCCACTGCTGGCTTCTCGTTTTGAAAATACTAGCTGTGAGGCCATTATGCTGACCCTTTGGCTTCAATATTTTAGACCCCATTCACACTGAGCGACATGCAAATTGCGCGACTTTGAGCGACATTGAGCGACGTGTCGCGCGATCTTCCTATTGGGCTGTATGCAATCAGGAGCAATATCGCTCAAAATCGCTCTAAAAAAGGGTCATGTAGAAGCGACAAGCTACCAGCGACGAGCTACAAGCGATATTGAGCGATATTGAGCGACATTGAGCGACGAGATGTGAACAGCTACATTGAAATGTATTGGTGAAGCTACATAGAGCGATATAGTGCGGAAATATGAGCGATAAATCGCTCAATGTGAACGGGGCCTTAGGGGTTAAAATACTAAAGTTTACTAAGCAAAAATGTTGTTCATTTTGATTAGTGAATAAAGTGAAGTTGGGTTCACATTACTCTTCAATGATCCAATCATGTGTAAAATCTTTTAATTACCCTGCACATCAATGTGTATTTAAACCCTAGTTTCTCTTCATTCAGTGTGCTAAGTAAACATTCTCTATTCCTTTAGTAAACCAACCTCATTAAGTAAGTAACCACAATTAAGTAAAAAGATAGGGATTCCTGTTTTTTTGGTGACTTTCCAGATTCACTCGTATCAGGTCAGTGTCTCAGAAATCCCTCAAACCAGTTGGCCAGCATTACAAACAGGTAACTAGCATTTTCAGATGGAGGATGGGAATATCAGCTTCCATATTTCCCCCAGGAAAGGTTATCTAGTCTGCAGTTTTCTGTTGTTTCCTTTTCCTCACTCATGTGGACTTACAAAACCTCCCTGTTTAAAACTCTGGCCAATCAGCTTTTTTAGAGCTAAAAGAACAGCTAAAGGAAAACCAGTAGATTTCAGCTCCAGATAAGATTGAAATGCAGAAGAGTTAGGCTTTGAGCAGAGAATACCAACACAGGAGAGTATACAAAGAAGAGGTTAAGTTTACATTAGGGAAGGTTAGGGTCAACGTTATAGGGAGGATTCGTGTAAGGGTAACAAGGAGGGTTAATGTGAGAGATAGTTTTAGGATTTATGTTGCACACAACATTAGAGTGGGACATTACGCTGAACACTGGAATTCTGAACCAAGTTCTTGATGCTGAAAATTAATGTATCAGCTCCAAAGTAGCTTGATGGCTTAGAGCTGCCTGACCTTCGATCCGGCAATACAGCTCTGGCTGGGAAACCAATCACAGTTTATTCACATAAAGTCTAAACACAGCTGACTGGCAGAATTTCTTAGCAGGTGGATAATTTCCAAAGGTAAGTAGAAGAGTTTTTCACTTTCTTGTTGCAAGTTTTTTCACTTTCAGTCAATTTCCTCCTTTTCAACCAGAGCTTATGGTCAGAATTACACATTTTCATATGCTTTCCAGCACTGTATATGGTAACCAGAGTCGCTGTGGATGTTGCAATTACAAAAACACAATATGCTACTCCACTTACATCGCACTGGAATGGTTTTTCCCCGGTGTGAGTCCTCATGTGTTCATCTAGCCCACGTTTCTGACTGAAGGCCTTATTACATTCTGTACACTGGTATGGCTTCTCCTGTACACAATGATAAAAGAGAAAATTTAGATGATTCTAGACTCCATATTTTCACATGACTTTATTCTCCCTGTTGCACCAGGCATTTTGTATCTTTACATCAGTGTACAATAACCCACAGCAACCAATCAGAAATGTATCTTTTAACTGACTACTCTCTATTAGCAGACAAATGTGGATATTTAAGTGTTTGCTATAAGCTTCTGTTTACCTGTGCTCGATTCGTAGTCATAACACAAGCCTAAAAATGTGAATTTAAACAAAAGCTGCACAACAAATATTTTATTTTTTTCCTGTAAATCAAAATCAAATCTCTTCTTTGCTGCAACCAGAACAATAATATTAAGTTGGTAAACACAAGCATTCCCCAAACTCATGTCCACCCCTTTGTATTTTGTCACTGCCTCTCTTAAACATATGAACAGACATTTTAGATGGGTATGGTTTATCTTGGAATCTGAAGCACAGAAGCAAGTAAGCAGATCATTAGTGCTTGCAATGTCTATAATTCAACTGGAGGCTCCCGATTTGTTCCTCAAGCAAACATCCCAAAAAAACAAAATGTTACTATTAAAACAACAAAAAACAGGTACAAACTGATCCAATGCAATGCTAAATACTCTAATCAACATTCTAACTTTAGCTGCTTCCTCCTTCTTATAACAAAAGTAAGGGAAAAAGGTTCTGATATAGACACGTTATAACAGTACAAACATAGATTATCATAATAAAAGTGCAGCAATCCACACCAGTGTCTTGCCACCTCATTTGTCTTCCCTATGTCAGCTCATTGTCCATCATCTCACAAGGAAGTCAAAATATACATAGGAGGCATTAAAAAAAAGATCAGGAATATTTCCTGAAACGTGAGAAAAAAGGGAAATAAATATTCTTCTTTATTAAAACCTGAACAAATAATATAGTTAAGCTGTATAATCCTACATAATAAGCAGTTTAATCTTATAAAAGTCTTATATAAATTCTTAGGATGACACATGTAGAGATGTACAGGATGAAGCAGTGGACTGTGACTGGAAATAGTGTTGCAGGAAATAGTGTTGCAAGAAAGAATCATGTGTAGAGTGTTATACTGGCTAATACATTTTTTGGAGACTTTGGGAGAAGAGAATTCTGCCAATTGTTCTTGGTGGTATTCTGAGGACTCTTCACTATATCTACAAATTCGGACCCCCCCCTGTGCTTGCAAGTGGCAGGAGTTTAGGCAAAAGCAGTGGATTTCATTCTTTAGTATATTTTAGAATTCTGAAAAAATTGTTTTAAACTATTGTAATCCCACAATTGCTGACAGCTGCCTGGGAGTTAGATTGATCCTATGGCTTTTGTCTGATTCAGATATTCAGGGGTCTATTCAGGAAGCTGCCGAAGGATCTAGCCGTAACTTCGGCCCATCCTTCGGCTAGCTTCGGTTTTTTTTTTTCATTCTGACACGGAGCTGTGTCAGAATAGAAAAAAATATATTTTGCCCATTGGAATACATTGCTAGATTCCTATTGGCTATTTCAATTTGCAATAGCCAATAGTAAACTAGCATTGTACCCGCCCTCTGCTGATGGACCTGATGGAGAACTGCAGCAGAGGGCGGGTACAATGCTAGTTTACTATTGGCTATTGCAAATTGAAATAGCCGATAGGAATCTAGCAATGTATTCCAATGGGCAAAATATATTTTTTTCTATTCTGACACAGCTCCGTGTCAGAAGGAAAAAAAAAAAAGAAACAGCAGTGTTTCTCTCCTGGGCGGCCGGGAGCAGGAAGCTCCCACAGCGCCCGGGAGAGTTTTTTTTCTTCTTTTTTTTTTGAACCGCCGGACAATAGAAAACTAGCTCCGCACAAATGTTTTCTATTTACTTTTTAAACTATTTTTCTGTTCTGCTTTGTCCCTCAGTGGCATTCGGCTATTCACTCACTGCTGTTCGGCATCTATAAGAATAGGCCAAACAGCAGGGAGTAGCCTGCTGGAGGTTCGGCTCAGCCGATCCAGATGTTGGATCGGCTGAGTCGAACTCCTTCTTCACTTCGGGTCAGCCAAACATGCTGAGCATGTTCGTCCGACCCGAAGCCATGCAAAGCAAGCCGATGTACGGCTGATTTCAGCCGTACCAGCCTGAAGCGAATAGCCGAACAGTGTTCGGCTCACCTCAGTTCAGGTCGGTCATTCACTCAGCTGCCTACGGCAGCTTAGTGAATAGACCCCATAGAGTTCTGACTTTTCTTAACTGGGAAGAAAACTAGCATTTTCGATCAAACTGTTAAAAAAAGACAAATTTGAGTATTATTAACTTGATTTAAAAAAAACAACTTTATTTCAAACTATTTTATTCAGAATTTGTATTTATTTATCACCGTCTAAAGCAGTGGTTCTCAACCGGTGTAACCTCAGGACCCACATTTCACATTTGCAGTGATATCTAACATGTGTGGCGCAATCATCATTTAAGTACACATGCATGCCACATGCGCGTGTGTTTATGTGCGGTCAGATAGCAGGGGTGGTGGGGTTGGCAATTTGTTTTATTTTATTATTTTTAACACTTTTTAAAATTTCCTCTCCATCCTGAATAAATTTGAAAACTATGGCAGGTGGCGATGCAGAGGGGAACCACACAAGTAGGGTGCTACAAGTGATCTGGGTGAGTTCACAGCTAATGCACCCCCCCAGCTTCTGCACTGATGGGAAGAGCGAGCAGCATGGACATTATGATTTGTTTTTATCTGTTAGCCACACATTATCAAAAAAATTGTACACCTCTCCCCGCCTGCCTACCTCTCTCAGCCTCCACAAGCTCTGGGAAGGCTGTACTCACTATTTGAAATTCATCCGTCACGGTGGGGTGGATTAATAGCTTGCCGCACTGAGGTAGAACAGTGCAGGCCGGAACGTTAACTTAATTATCGGGAGTTGCAGCTCCCGATATTACTCCACAGACCGAAAGTGGTGAAGTAGTCCCCTCTCTCCCCAGGCCCTATCACTTCAGCGGGGGCCCGTGGGAGAGCGGACACTGTTTCATAATACATAGAAGTCTCCTGCATGCTTCCACACAAAGTCCCCTCTCTGTCTCCCTGCTGAATGAGGCAGGAGGGCCAGCTCTATGGACAAAGGAAACCGCGACCCACTTACAGGCTTAATCAGTATGGCATTGCAAATAGTATTGAAAATGCAAAGTACAGTAACCAGTAACCTACAGCAAACATTCAGATTACCATTTTATACAGTTAGAGTATTGGAAAATAAATTTTGTTTGGCTGATCTGTGTTAGTGTAGTTTCACTGCATTGCTCTTTGATTTACTGAATAAGCCTGTTTTGCAAAAAATATAAACTTAATCTATAACATCAATGAAAATGTGCTTGGATTGTCTAACCGCAACAATATTAGATTTACATCTAACATTTGATGTCAGCATGTATCCCAGCTGAGCCATTTCCATTTTAAATGTATTAAATATACATTTTTTGCTATAGACACAGTAGACCTCATCTCTGAAAAAACATGGAAAGCTGTTTTATGGCTTATGAAAATGGACCAATATAACACGTTTCCTTACAACTGGTTTATGTTTCCATACTGATCTCTATATCCCTAGAGAGTTTAAAGCTTCCTTCCTCCACAACACTCTAGACTCGTACAGATGGGACGCTGTCCTTTACAATAGCTCTCTTGACAAGAAAGCACCATGAAATATCTGTAAAACTTTTTTTAATGAAGTATAAATAGTAGGAGTGCTAAGCTCCGACATTCAGAAGAGGGTACAATCAATTTATGGCAACTTTTTCTTTTTCTGTGGGAAGATGGAATGTAAGAAATTGAGTGAAGAATAAATAGAATATTCATTCTATATGATCACATATGCAGGGTACCAGTGTTGCTTACTAATCTACTCATACACTCTCTAAACATTTGATTCTACATTTTAGCATAAGGGAACCTTTCCCCAGCCTCACGTGTTTATTACAATGCTGTCAATACATAAGTAAAAATAATTTTCTGTCTCTCTCAGGCTGGTCTACTTGTAAGAGAGGAAGCCAGCTTGTAATCCAGAATACACAGCCCGACAGCAGGCTTAAAGGAGAACTATGGGGTCAGTGTTTTTCCCCATAGTTCTCCTTAGGGTAACGGGAGGACACAAACTAGCGTCCTCCCGTTACCCTACGCTCAGTATACCACGAGCTGTAGCTGAGACGCCGCAGCTGGAGTGGATCCCGACTTAGACGTCGGGATCCGCCCAGCTGCGTGAGTGACAGCTGGCTCTGCCTATCTAGAGGCAGAGCCAGCTGTACCCGCGCCCTCCCCCGTCCGTTCCGCCAATTAGCGCTGGCAGATCGGAGCGGGGAGAGGGGAATCCAGCCCCTCCCCCTGTCATGGTAAGAGAGCCGTGACAGGATCGAGAGGTGAGCGAACCCGGTATGTGTTCGCTCACCTCCCGATCTACTGAGCCGACCTGTGACAGTCTCATTGTCACAGGTCGGCTAGAACTATGAGGTGAGTGAAAATCACTCACCTCATAGTTCTCCTTTAATGATGAGAAACCCATTATCTGTATAACCAAAAAAATTACTTAAAGAGAACATAACTAATGTTGATGTAAATGTAGTACATCCATATAACCTTTAATTCTTTGAAATACAATAAAGTACTGTAACTTTGGTAAAATCATGTTTTACCTAAATACCTACATTTATTGTTTCACAGTTTGCAAAATTGTAATATAACATTTCAAAACGTAGTCTGTTTATTAATTTAAACCAATCTTATATAGTAATCCAGTTGAGCATACATAAGCAATGGTAGAAACCTTGCAAAGTTATTCAGATGATCACACAACCAACAAGCATAGCAGTAAACAGAAGCTAGATGTGCATGCTTTTACTGCTATTATATGGACAGGCTTTCTATCGCTTGTTTGATGATGCCCGTTCTTTGTTTTAGTGATGCATGGGAGCTCATTTACTAAAGGCAAACAGGCTGATCACTTTGCAAGG